CCTAACAAAGTAATTAAAGGTATATATGGTGGTGAATATAAATCTTTAGAAAGCCCGCAGAGTTTTGGTAATTTAGGTCTGACTGTTCTTGTCCAGCTGTGACCAGTTCACTTGAATGCGTTTGGAGACGGAGGTGGTCTGTAGAGAGAAACTATCTTTCCTTCTGTTTTAAATTGTGTGGATTCTTATTAGTGCAATCCAAAGAAACCAAGGGGGACGCTGTGAATTGTGGATAAGGTTTGAAATGTTTATTGGAAACAGAGGCAGAGTAATTGTTTTATTCCCAGTGTGTAATTGAGGTTCATAAATAATGTATATAACCTCCATATTACAGAAGCACAATGATGACACACAGTTTCTATTCTGTGATGTATTGTTGGTTATTCCCGTGTTTTACTGGGAAAATATTTTCCAACTCTTCAATGAATAAATCTGTATCATGAACGGTTAACTGTTTTCTGGCAGAATATATCTCTTAATCTCTGTGTAAAGGAAAGCTTCGCTGGCTGTGAATCTAAAACAGCATTTAAGAGGAATTATTTAAAGCCCAACTCCGGGTTCCCTAATGAAGAAAGGTAGCTCAGAGCAGCAATATTTGCCTACTATTTGCCACAGTTTCTGACAGTAATGTTTCTGCCACTAGATGTCCTCAGTTCCAAGCATCCTTCAACACTGAGGACATAGTGTGAGTGCAGTGGATCATGGACCGCCCCTGAGGTACAATCCCATTTGGATTGCTTGTGTAATGCACAGCTTGAATAGATTGTAAGGGTAAGCCTTCATATTTCATTGCTGTTGGTAAATCTAAAGGTAATTGTACAGGGATTGAATACCGGTAGTCATGTACAGGCAGGGGGTCTGTACAATCAGATCAGGGCCAGGACAAGGGGTGGGAATGAGAGGCAGGCACCCAGGGTGCAATGGTAGTGAAGGGCACCCCCACACCACATGCAAGCTCATGATCAGTGGCTAGCAACCAGGGGCCACAGTTTCATGTCTGCCCTGACAGCAAATGCTGTTATGCCATGCTCAAACATACCTGCTCTCCACCCTATCCACCCACAACTGACTCAAAAACACACCGTGCATGTGCAACTACCACAAGAAAGCAAACGATTTCCATGCAGGGGCAGTGCACACTCCATGTCAACCATGGGTAGTTGAAGCAAAGAGCAAAGGATGGGCACAAGGTGGTACACCCATTCTATGGCATGCATTGGGGGAGTGCAGTTCTGCATCCTTGCCCTGTGCTCCCTCTACCCATTAACCCCTAATCTAAACTACTCATAAATCTGCAGAAAACTGAACAGATAGCACATCTTAGGAGCATCTACCTTTTTAATGGTGGATGGCTGCTTCTGAGTTGGTACTGGGACCAGAACCTGTGTGAGGGCCATTCAGCGCTTCTTCCAGCACATACATCATACTCTGTGGCTCAGATTCCGAAGTAAAGACTTGCTGCCATGTAAATACACCTTTGCCAAATTCATTTGAAAATCTGAGGGAATTATTGTTGATAGCTCTTTGTGAATTCTCGTAACAGTGTAAAACATTTACTGAAATACATTAGCACCTGTTTCTTACATTTAACAGATTTTTCTCTAAATTAGTAAAGTTGCAAGCTTTTTTTTTTTTTTTACTTCAAATCAAGGATAATCAAGGATAGCTTGTTTGCATCTCATAAACATATCAGCCCATATGTTCCTTCAAGAACTTTTATATACAGTATCAATTATCACATAATAAAAAGAAAAAGAATCAATTTAAATAAAAAGTGTCTTTTAAAGAGTCCATATACACCAAAGAAAAGAAATATTCATCCACTCCTTGCGAAAATGACATTCAGTCCAAAGGTAGGTATCAGTATTCTGCTGATTGTAAACAACGACAGGTGAAAAAATGAGCCGATGAACCAAAGCATCCCTCCATGTACACAAGAGGCTGTTACCAAACTGAAGTGTGTTTTGCCAACCCCCTGATGATGTCTACTATGAAACGCGTTAGAGGTGGCTAACCATGATAATACCACTCCAAAGACATGCTGGAAGGTTAATTGGCACCTGTCAAAATTAGCCCTAGTATGTGTATGTATGAATGTAAGTTAGGGACCTTAGATTGTACGCCCCTTGAGGGTTAGGGACTGATGTGAATGTACAATATATATGTAAAGTGCTGCGTAAATTGATGGCGCTATATAAGTACCTGTAATAAATAACTAAAAATTGATCTTCTGCCAGCACTGATCACACGTCTACACTGACCACTAATATTAATAGACACAGCAATTTTTACTGGCTGCTTTCTTTTATGGGCGGCACAGTGGCTTAGTGGTTAGCACTTCCGCCTGGCAGTACTAGGGTCGTTGGTTCAAATCCCAACCATGGCACCACCTGCCTGGAGTTTGCATGTTCTCCCTGTGCCTGCGTGGGTTTCCTCCGGGTACTCCAGTTTCCTACCACACTCCAAAGACATGCTGGTAGGGTAATTGGCTCCTGTATAAATTGTCCCTAGTATATGTATGTATGAATGTGAGTTAGGGACCTTAGATTGTACGCACCTTGAGGGTTAGGGACTGATGTGAATGTACAATATATATGTAAAGCACTGCGTAAAATTGACGGCGCTATATAAGTACCTGAAATAAATAAATAAATGTTATTATCAGGGGCGGACTGACAACTCATGGGGCCCCCGGGCAATTGGGGATCATGGGGCCCCTGTGTCCTTGCCCTCACTCAAAACACTCCCAAAAAACCTATAAAAAGGTACCAGGGGCATTTTATGGGGCCCCCTACTGACCCCAGGCCCTCGGGCAGCGCTCAAATGGTCAATCCGCCCCTGGTTATTATTCATATTAATAATTTTAATTAATATTTTAATAATAAAAATACATTTAATTTAATTTCAACATTCTTACTAAAAATATACAAAGCAAGGAGGATGGTTCAGCATAGGACTGTGTCTAACCCAGGGGTGGGCAAACTTTTTGACTTGAGGGCCGCAATGGGTTCATATATTGGACCCGGGGGCCAGACCAAGAGTAGATGAATGATGTGTATGTGTCATCCAGAGTAAGTATAGTAATATTCCCCCATAGTAAGCATAGTAATTAATCCCCCATATAGTAATTCATCCCCCATAGTAATTCATCCCCCATAGTAATTCATCCCCCATATAGTAATTCATCCCCCCTATAGTAATTCATCCCCCATAGTAATTCATCCCCCATAGTAATTCATCCCCCATAGCAATTAATCCCCCATATAGTAATTCATCCCCCATATAGTAATTCATCCCCCCCTATAGTAATTCATCCCCCCTATAGTAATTCATCCCCCATATAGTAATTAATCCCCCATATAGTAATTCATCCCCTATAGTAATTCATCCCCTATAGTAATCATCCCCCCTATAGTAATTCATCCCCCATATTAATTCATTCCCCATATTAAGTCCCCAAGTCCCCCCTGTGTCAATTTACTTACCTTTGCTCCGCGCGTTCCTCTCGCCGTGTTCCCGCGCCGTTCCGGTCTTCAGGGCGGACTGTGAGAGGAGCCTAGCTCCCCTCACGTTCGTCACGCTGCCCCGCCTACACACATCCTGACAGCCATCCTGACAGTATCACGCTCCGCGGGCCGGATTAAAAGGTCCTCCGGGCCGTATACGGCCCGCAGGCCGTAGTTTGCCCATTGTTGGTCTAACCCTTTTCTGATACTACAGAGTTCCACCCTTGGAAATCCATCACCTTTGAGTATGCCAGGTTAGTAGGGCAGCTCTGAGTGCTCAATTAGCGTCAAATCTGCTTTCAAAGAGCCGGGGAAAACCTAAACCTTGCCACAACCTCCAACAATCATGGAGATGGAATCAGTTTTTCACAGACTGGGAAAGCCCCATTAAATAAGGTCTTTTATTTTTACTTTGCTGATAAGACTTCTGGGTGTACAAATTTTGCCTGATTTCAATAAAATGATGCCCATCTCATTGCAGGGAGAAGCAAGAAGCGAGACAGATGTCAGAACAGCGAGCTTTATCCGTTAGCGGAGACTGAGGCATGCGCCTGTGAAGTATATAAATCTCAGCCGTATGGAAATTGGTCGGACTGCATAATTCGAGATGGAAGAAATGAAATGCAGCTGGGAGTGAGAGCTCGCAGAGACATGAAAGGCTGTGGTGAAGGCGTTCGACTGTGCGCAATCGCCTGCTACGACTTAACTGGCAGGATTGTGGAGCCCGGTCTCTGCAGTCGTTCTGGTAAGAGCATCAATAATTTATGGAACAGACGCTTAGCACAGAGTGATTTTAATTGTTAAGGCCGGGGAATAGTTTTGTGCATTTCTATTATTTCTTGGGGACAAGTGTAGAAATTAAGAACCGCTCTGGATACGTTCTGTGTCTTACACCAGGAACAAAAAGTGTTTTGACTGTTGTAATAACAATATTCACATTATAACCCTGTATTTAACCCCTCGCCTACCGGGCACTTATACCCCTTTCCTGCCCAACTTTCAGCGCTGTCGCACTTTGAATGACAATTGCACGGTCATGCAACACTGTACCCATATGAAATTTTTATAATTTTTTTGAGACAGATAGAGCTTTCTATTGGTGGTATTTAATCACCTCTGGGATTTTTTTTTTTTCTTAAACAAACCAAAAACCACTGAAATTAAAAAAAAAAAAAAACGTTTTTTCTTAGTTTTTGTTATACAATTTTGTAAATAAGTGATTATTTCTCCTTCACTGATGTGCGCTAATGAGGCTTCAGTGATGGGCACTGATAGGCTGCACTGATGGACACTGATAGGTGGCACTGATGGGCACTGATGAGGAGGCACTGGTAGGTTGCACTGATGGGCATTGACAGGCATCACTGATGGGCACTGAAAGGCAGCGCTGATACATGACACTGATATATGGCACTGATAGGCGGCACTGATAGGCGGCACTGACTGGCACTGATAGGCAGCACTGACTGACACTGATAGGCGGCACTGACTGGCACTGATGCGCACTGATATGCGACACTGACTGGCACTGATAGGTGGCACTGATTGGCAGCACTGATATGTGGCACTGATTGGCATTGATAGGTGGCACTGACTGGCACTGATGGGTGACATTGAAAGGCAGCTCAGATGGGCACTGATATGTGGCATTGATGTGCACTGGTAGGTACTGATATGTGGCATTGACGTGGCACTGATGGGCACTGGCACGTGGCACTGATGAGCACTGACAGGTGGCACTTCTGGGGCCACACTGATCATCAGGGCACACTGATCATCAGTGCCCTGATGATCAGTGTACATGTCCCCTCCGCTGAAAGCCGATTACTGGCTCTCCTCTCGTCAGCTGTCTCGAGCTGTCAGCGTGACAGCTCGAGAGGAGAGAAATGCCGATAACTGGCATTTCCGTGTTTACATGTGATCAGCTGTGATTGGACACAGCTGATCACATGACCGAGCCGACATCTTCGGCTCTTTCCGTGATCCGCTGTGTCCGAGGGACACAGCGCACCGGCGATCGCCGCGCATGCGCAGTGAGAATGGTACGACGTCATATGTCGTCCTATCAGATCGAGAGAACCAACTTGCGCCCGTCATTGTACTATAGGGCTGGCGGAAGGTGGTTAAAGAGACCCAGTCGCCAAGTCATACATTTCGAATTAATCTTTCCTGGAGAACATAATGGCATATTATTTACCTGTAAAAGCCTCCCTTGTGTAGACATTCAAAAGCTCAGAGACTGCTGCTGGGTGCCGCCATCAAGGATATGATTTCAGCAGGCCCGGCAGACTCAGGGCCACAATGGTGCACTCACAAAGGCAGTTTTAACCAAGCCTGGGCATGGTTCACCTCCTTGGTCCATTTCATTTGTGTAGTGTGAATGCTCTGAATCATTCTCGAGAATGGTTAAGTGTACCATGCCTGGGACTACTTGGAAGAGGTGGCCCTAGGCACAGTTCACTTGTGGTCTTGTATGGTTCGCTTCAGTGTGATTGCAAACAGTGCCAGAGCACAGAACTCTCTATAGATAACTGAGCACAGAAGTAGGGATCACTGTGGTCTGGATAGTAGACGTGATGAAGTAATTGTGCCCTGGAACACTTGCTGTGGGCCCAGTATGAGTGCAGACCAATGGCGGACTGGGGAACAGGAACAGTCAAAATCAGACACGGCTCAGTTCTTTTCCAATAATGTTTATTGAAATTTTTAAAAGGGTGCAGAGACAACGTGGCAAAATACAAAGTGCATTCAAAGGGCACATACAGTATATAAGAGAAGAGCAGGAGACACATATTATTTGACCTCAAAAATATAACTGTTTATGCATATAAAGAGAGAGTCGAATTGGTCATCCAGGTGACCACAATATCTCAACAAACTTAGAATTGAGGGTTGCAAGATCTTGAATATTGTTATCCTAACCAGAGGTGTAACTAGAACCTTCGTGGCCCAAAATCATAAAGGCCCCCCCTGGATGGGGCCCTTTCCTTTGATCCTGGGGCACTTTATTCCCAATGTGGGACCCTTTATTACGGTCCCACAGTGAGCCCCCTTCCTGCCATCTTTGGGTCCAAGCCCGGGGACAGAACGCCATGGACCGGTTCCAAGTGCGACCTTTGCAACCCTTGTAGTTCCGCCACTGGTAGCACTTTTTTTTTTTGTTATTTAATTTACTTTTTACCATTTTATTTATTATTTATTTATTTACAATTTTATTTTCTGTTATTTTTAAAATGTTGTTTTAGGGGGACAATGGTGAAATATCAGGGGTCTAAATAGACCTCTGATGTTTCACCTTTGAGGCAGAAAAAGAAGTATGAGGACACCCTAGTCTCCATCTCTGCAGCCTCAGCAGCACAGAATGAATGAACAGGAATAGCTCTGTACAGAGCTCCCTGTTCATTCATAAACTGAAGCATAGTAAACACAGTTCATGATGCCTTTGATTGAATGAAAAGAAAAACATTTGCTATGGAGGCACTCACGTGGTCTCACTTCTGAGCTGGCTTTGTGTGTCCATAAGACACATGGAGTGGGGCTCGACCCCGTCCCCTGCTCCCTCCTCACTGGCTGTGATTGACAGTAGCAAGAGCCAATGGCTCTCACTTCTGTGTCAGAGCCAATGAGGAGGGAGAGAAAGGAGAGAGAGCCGTTTATCTTGCGCACTTTGCTGGATCGAGATGGGACTCAGTTAACTATAAGGTGCAGCTGGGGGGGGGGGAGCTGCATGCAGAATATTTTTTTACATTAATGCATAAAATACACTAAGGTAAAAAGCCTTCATCCTTTAGAGCCGCTTAGATTTTTCTATGTGTTAACCTGCAATTTTTCAAATTGGTGACAGAGTCTCTTTAAAGCGTCATGAAGATAAATTCTGGCAAAAAAATGCACCTACAAAAGAAAAGAGCATATAATCACCTATCTGTGCTGGAATTTGCAATTGTCAGGTTGCACGTCAAGAATGTAATAAGATGAGACATCTGTGAGAAGGCCGTATCTCCGTATCTCCAGACTGAGCTGACATGAGGAACTCTTACTCTCGGCACATAAGGCAATAAAGTGATCTTTCCATTCTCTCTGAATTGGTTGAAGAGATTGTCTAGCACAGTGTAAAATCCCTCCCGGTGATAATGGTCTTTAGACACTTGTGGTGGAAGCTCTTCTCATCTGTCCTATAATTGCCCGTATTTGTTGCCTCTCCTGTGGATTGAGTTGTACATATTGAGCCATGGGCTGCCAGGCTTATCTCAGATATAAGAGTTGATAAGTTATACTATAAGAGGGAAATTATGGCTATCGCCTGTTATAGGCTTTTTATATACATGTGAATATGATCAGCAAGGGATAAGTGCGGTTCTAGTGGGCGAGTTCTTAAGGGACCCCATTCCCTTTGATGGACCTTTTTGATATGGGTAAAAAACCTACCTGAGTACCTGAATGGTCAACTCTTCTCTTATTTCTCTGGATGTCCTGAATCTCATCAAATCTCCTTTTTAAGACATTTTTTGTATTTTGAAAACAGCCAAAAGTTGCGGAATTCTAAGTCAGGGGAATAAGGTGGTTGATCAAGTTTTGGAATGGATTTCTTGGCCAGGAACTCGCAGATACTTCATTGGGCATCATGTGCAGGAGGATTGTTGTGGTGGACAATCCACTTGTCAGGGCAGAGTTCCGGTCTTTTCCTCTGAACAAGCTCCCCTAACTTTTTCATTTTACACATTTGCATCCGTCCTTTGCGCTTTTAGCAGATCATGGACATCTTCAAGCCCCTCATTAAACCACCTATGCTTGATTTCTTCATGGAATGTTCACCATAAGCCTGTTGTAACAGTGCTAAAGTTTCACTCGCACTTTTGTCAAATTTCACGCAAAGTCTTATGTTAATCCGCTGCTCCAGATTCCTGTCACTCATTTTCTGCCAACAGCACACATGCGTTGTTTCTTCTACATTCCAGGAATTAAATCTCGTATGTATGTATGTGTGTGTGTATATATATATATATATATATATATATATATATATATATATAAAACTAAAGTGAGACTTTTAGGGCTGGTTCACACAACAATTTTTTTGTTCCAGATACATTTCTGAATGCACATTTACACTCATTTTGTATGTTTTTTTAATGCATTCTGGTGCGTTTTCGATGCGTTCCTTTTTTTTCTTCATCTCAGTTCTCATGTGAGTTCTGGAGCGTTTCTGGTGTTTACATGCATTCCAGTGCACTTTCCATGCGTTTTGCTGTGTTTCAGATGCATTCTATACAGAAAGAAAAATTAAGCATGTTCTACTTTTGTTGACTGCACTAGAACGCACACAGATGTGACAAGGGCTGCCACTCCTCTGAAAAGTAATCAGTGCTTGGATTGCTTTCCTGAGGTGTTTGACAGGTGTTGAGGAGATGACATGCCCCCCCCTCACTGCCTGTTTTACCCCCTGAATGCCACACTACCAGGCAGGAACTGAGTGCATTGCTTACAATTGCAGGGTGGCTGCAGTATGGCCCCACTCACTTGAATGGGTTGCGTTAAGCGCAGGGGCGGACTGACCATTTGGAAACTCAGGCACTGCCCGAGGGCCCGGGGTCAGTAAGGGGCCCCATGAGATGTACCTTTTTCATAGGCTTTTTTGAGTTTGGGCAAGGACACAGGGGCCCCATGATCGCCTATTGCCCGGGGGCCCCATGAGTTGTCAGTCCACCCCTGGATCAGCGTGCTGTAGTGCCTGCTGAACATAACAGGGGGCTTAGTTTCTGCCATGGCTGTGAAGCAAAGCATCGCGGCTGTGGCATGTGAACACCCCTGGCCGCTGACTTTACAGCTTAAGGGGAGCAGTTGGGGTGAAAAAAAAACACATCTTACTAAGTGTTTTTAACTCCCCCCACCACCACCATCACCACCACCACCACCCACCACAGGTGTCAACGAGCCCTAAAGTGGCTAAAAGCAAATGGAGGAAGGTTTTTTTTTTTTTTTTTATGCAGAATAGCATGCAAAGATATGTCCCTTTTAGCAAATAAACTGTAAGGCACCTTTCACACAGTTTGCCAGGAGGCAGTAAAAACAGGCAGTTGATCCTCATTTTTACCGTTTCCTCCACCTGGACCTCTCACCTTCACAGCTGTACAGGCGCAATGCTTTGCACCTCGGTCCGCCAATTTTAATGCGGTGTGCCAAGTTTGTTTGACAGCACCGCCTGTCAAACTCTCCAATCATAGTGAATGGGACCACGCCACAACTGCGAACCAAATTATTGGCTTGGCATTGCGGCAGTATCATGATCCACCGTGCTGCTAGTGTGATAGAAGCCTTTCTCCCACCAGTTTTTCTATGTGGGATTCCGTTCCGCTTTATGAGCTGTGTATTGTAAAGGAGTTTTTAATAAGCTGAACTATGCCCAGTATACACTGTACTGGAAAATATTCAGTAAGCCTCCCGATACAGTGCTAGTGAATAATAACAACCAGACAGCGGAATGAAAAGCACGAGAAGTAACATTTACTTATCTTCGTTACAGATGATTGCTTACAAAAATAGCAGTTCCAACGTCATAAAGGCCTCCTGCACCCCGGGCGTCTAAATTTCTCCTCTGAATGCCTTTTACTCTTGGCAGGAAATATCAGCTTAAAAAATGCACCAAAAAGCCACGTACTGCACATGCGTTTAGGTGCGTTAAGTGTTTGAGTAATTATGGATTTCATTGGCCAGGATATTAACTTATTCTGGCCATTGGGATGAATGAACAGTCAGGGACTAAACATATCTAGCGTTTTAGCGCGTTTAGACATGTTTAGATGCAATTAGGTGCATCAAGCATTTTTTTCCGCCCAAAATCTCTTGTTTTCTTGTTTTTCAGCCTGTAAATTCTTCACTTTTAATATGCCTGTGAACACCTACAGTGCTGTGAAAAAGAATTTGCCCCCTCTTGACTTTTTTCCCCTATAAAAAAAAAGTTAACCAAAAAAAAAAAAATAATATATATATATATATATATTTTTTTTTTTTTTTTAAGCACATAAAATCCC